CCACTCTTACTTACATAGACACACAAGAACAGTATCTTTAATTATTTACATCTTACATTCTAATCAGATCTAACAAGGTAAAAAAAATTAACGAGATTTATTTGTATCTTCCCATTCTCACCCACCGCTCGGTAAATGGATGACAGGAAAGCACTTAACATTTAAAACTGATATTAATCCTATACATGCAGGCTAGTTATGTAAAATCATGTGCACATCCTGTAGTCTATTACAACAGATTACTCTCAAATTTTTAAAGCAAAGCACAGTAGCTTCAACACAGTTTTGAACCTAACACTCGTTTGTAAAACAAAAAATTGTTGAGGGTGGCCAAGAGGATACAGTACAGTACTTGACTCCTGTTCCATGGGTCACTGGTTCATGCCCAGCTGTGAATAGGTACAATGAAAGAATGAAGTATTTTTCCGGAGTTTTGACGAATTCATAGCAAAACGGTTGAGCCATTCAACGCATGCATGTGTGGAGCCCATAAACAGTTAGCAGGCCTGTGTAACCTTGGAAAGGGATCACCAATGACACCATTCACTGTGTTGGGTAGTCAGTCAGGTTTCAATGTACTTTGGCCAAAGCTGGGATGATACTTCATTATCTCACTGTACCTAAATCTAAAGCTGGAAAAGTGAAGGAGGGAAAGTGTAGTGCTGGTTCGTATCCCAAAAAGCCTTAGTCTACAATGTGAGCATCCACACAACCCTAATGGGTTGTCAAGCCTATGGACATACTTTCAAGTTTTCCACCATCCCAGAAGAAACATAAATCAAACAATAAAACTGGAGATCATAGACATAAAGCATAAGAGAGAATGTATCACTTGTACTATAAAATATAAGTATTATATTATCTAAACCTTTGGAAAAATATACCATTAAAAAAAAAAAAAAATACACACAAACAGTGGAGAGCCAAGCCAGGAGCAATGTATCAATGAATAGGTTTAATGTTCTAGCAAAAGAATGAGTATGCATTATGAAGAAATAAATGAATTAGGAGTGAGTGGGAAAGAAAGAAGAACGCTCATGGGTGGAGGAATGTGCATTAATGCAACCTGGACTAGTAAATGGTCGAGTGAGGGGTACTGTATGTGAGTGTGAAAGGTAATTGTACTAATGCTACCGACAGAAATGTGATGACGCATGAAAATGGATGTACTCGTATGAGTAAATGAGAAAAGTTATCACGCAAGGGATGTGAGAATGAATGATAACAGCTCTGCAATCGAGCGCGCACTGACAGATGAGTGTAGTAATTGTGAATGTCCCTATTGGAAGACTTGTCTACTTAGCAGGAAGCCTGGAATATCCAGTACAGTACAGGGAGTTCTGCTATAACGCGTGTTTTGACAACGCGAATTGGCTCTAATGCGATTGATGAATAGATGAACAATATTTGTAAAACGCTAACGCGTTTGCTCTAACGCGATTCCACTCGAACGGTTGCTGTGGCTTGGCGCGGAGTTATGCAGTGTTTACAGTTCACGTTCAATTGATTTATGTGTTTTGCTTGTGAACAATTGCAGAAATAATTTACCGTATATCTCGGCCTATAAGAAGGAATTTGAACCATAAAAAAATCAGCCCAAAGTTAGGGGGTCGTCTTAGGCACCAGATATAAAATTCTTACCTCTTAAATATTGCGGTTTAGCGTGTCAAGAGTGGTGATGGAAACATCATAAACCACTCAAGGTCCTACCACTAATTATTTTATACTGAAACTTACGTTTGGGAAGCTGGATTAAAATAAAGATTTCCGGTATATTAAAATAACAAAAATGTACTATAAACCTGTCTAACATACCGTAAAAGAACAATATACCCCGGTGATAAACACAGCTGCTATCATCACCCCACCCCCCCCCCCCACATTTGCCAGTGACAAGAAAGGGAAAGTGACCTTGACTGTGACCGCCTGTGGCTATTTTTAGCCGTCCTTGTGTTCGGAGGTGGTCAGTAATGCATATCTGTATATTTGCTGATGATAATACTTATCTCCTATAAATAATTCATTTAAAATTTATTTTTTTACAAAGAATATTCAGTAAATGACTGCGTTAATTCTTGAAACTACTAACAGTGGTAAATTTAGGATATAAATGATGAACAGAAGTCACGTCATGGATTCGGAGTTTGGTCCTTAATGATCACCATAAATGTCTGGTCAACTTCACCTACCAGGTTTAATGGTAGCCTCCCTTTTTCGTGAAACAAGTATATAAATTAAAGAAAATACTTGCAGTGTGTTTAATATATTACAGTATATTATAAATAAATAAATAAACAAATAAATCGGCAAATCTATTTCAAGTAAATGGAAATATTTTACTCACACCGACATTAGTTCCAGTTAAATAACTGACGCTTAAGTGAGTCACTAGTGTACACCAGCCGGTAAAATTTGATACCAATACTTTAAGTGAATTGGCCTTATTTTAAATAACCAACCATAAATAAATGCAAAAAGGAAAAAAGATCAAAGGTGAGAAAAATTATATTGTATGTATGTTGTGTTGTCAAATGAAGAGAAACAATTGAAACTGCAATTGTGTGTAAATGAGGCAGAAAGATAGATCAGCAACCTAAGACTTGGTCACAATTTTCGTGATGCCATATGGAAGTAGGATCTACCATAAGACAATAGTGTACATTATTATTCCAATATCTTCCCAGGCGGTAGTATCTCCCTGTTTGGTAGCTGCCTACTAGCTATACTTAAGTTTTAGTAATATTACTTTGATACAACATGATAAATTAGACAAACAATGAAAATAAACAAACAAAAGTTATTTACCAAGACCTTCTCTCTGAGAACAGAGGGTAATAGATGGAGAGGAGATAAGAAGGCTATTTATAGCCCGTCTTTGTGTAGGAAGTCGACCACACTATAAATAATTCATTTAAAATTTATATTTTTTACATAGAATATTCAGTACATGACTGTGATTATAAAATAGGCCGAGATATACGGTATGTAATATTTTTGTGTGTGTGATGTAAACAGAGCGCTTGGCCTCTCTCTCTCTCTCTCTGAATGGATGAAATTTGTGGTTTAGTGAGAGTGAATACTACTTAAACAGTAAACACATCAAAATTATGTTAATTGATCACTGTATAATAAATTCATTCACTCATAATTTCAAATTCCCTTATCATCCTGTGTTATATACAGAAATACTTGAGTCCCTGAGCGAGTACACAAAAAGAAAACGGAGGACTAAGGCATCCTGAAGTGGATAGAGAACGGACATCTCTACTGGGGGACTCAAACGTTTCTCATGTTTTGTGGGCGCTGTAGCATAATATGAATATGTAAATTACAATTTACATATATATATACTGTATGTAAATTGTAAAAATTTAAATAAAAGAGAAAAACTAAATACGTAGCGTTTAAAGTGTACTGTACAGTGTTGTGGCTTGGCGTGGGGTTCTGCAGTGTTTACAGTTCACGTTTGACATCACATGTTCAATTGATTTTTGTGTTTTGTTTGTGAACAATTGCAGGAATAATTTATGTAATATTTATGTATACAGTATACCTGTACAGTATATGTAAATTGTAAAATTTTAAATAAGAGAGAAAAACAAAATACATAGCGTTTTAGACCCGAGCGCTCTGTTTACTCCACACGTTGAGTTTGAAACACGTGTGAAGTTTTTAAGCGTCCTCGGTGAATTCCGATTACTGTTTCTCCAATTTTGTGACTATGGAAAAGAAGAATATCTCTAGGAAGCGTTCTGGTGATCGCATTTCCGGTGGTGATCGTAAAAGAAAGGCTATAACACTTGAAGAAAAGCTTGATGTTTCATGACTCCTCAACATCAACCTTCTCACCCATCAAGTTATATTCATATTTTTTCAAGGTAAAGTGTTACATTTGCTGTATGATTTCATTATTAGATATGAATGTAACATTTATTTAGACTGTGCTATCCTTTGTGTTAGGCTAACTACGAATTTTTTTTTCGATTTGGAGTAATCTGCACCTAACCCTATTTTCTCCAAAAGCCCTGTTATTTCTATTACGCGAATTTCTATAACACGATGTTTTACAAGAACACAACTATCGCGTTATAGCAGAACTACCTGTAATCTAATCTCCTGATTTTGGCCACATTCTTAATGCCCATCCATTATCCTATGCCAAGGTTACACACACACACACCATATAAACATTCAAATAATGTTCCTTTCACTGCCATTCCAAGTATTTTAACATTAATGTTAAAAACTGATTACTATACTGTATAAAATTGTAGTTTGTCATGACAATGCTAAAAGTATTTATAAAAAAATATTAGTCTTTATAAAAATTTTCCTTTCCAGACACAATTTGAAAAGGAAACACCGATACTATAGTACTAATGAAGCTACAGTGTTATATACTCATTGATCAAGCAAAAAATAAAATTACACCTTAGGAACTCATAAACTAAAACAAAATCCTCTTCAAAACTCATACATTCACTATGTAGTGGTTGATTCAATACAAACATGGAAAAATCATAAACAAGATTTTGTTTCCAAATAAAGCTATAAAAAATGCACCATTTAAATACAGGCACCTTTAAAAACTACTGTACTGTAATGCATAAGCTGATTATTAAAACTTTAATAGATGTATACGGTACCCCTGTACTGTACTGTAAGCTTACATTCAACGAAACTGTGTCCAATTTTCTTTTCCATTATGAAGAATCCCACTGCTCACATATTCGAGATCTTTCAACCCTCGGTTCACTGCTGTCACGTCACACTGTAATGACTGTGATGGTGAATGGAACTGATTCCATTGGCGGCCACCTCTAGAGGCATTATGATGGCGCTGGGGTGTTCGTATCATGGCCCTATTTTCATTACCATAAATGTTCCTGTAAAGGTGTTAAAAATAACAAAATGGAAAAAAAAATACAGGAAAAACTGAAACATAAAAAAACTTTATCCATATTCTGTTACTCTTCTTTAATTAATTTAACTCTTGTTTTGGCTTGTCTATAATTCTGCCACTTCTCCCACAGAAAGTGCATTTACTAACTATAACATTTCAGGGATTAAACCCACAAATATAGTAATGTGCTGAATCACAAGACACCTACACATTCAGATGAGATATGTGAAGCTCTTTAACTATAGGACAATTAAATTAATGTGGGAATAATAACATCTGAGCAAACATTAAGTAAGTTCAGTAAAGAGCTGATAAGTGGTGAAATGGTGAGTAAAAATAGATATGTAAAAACCTCGAATCAAATCACTTTACACTGACAAGTACTTTATCTTTGACTGTCTGATTTGTCAAGGGAGGCAGCTTCAGCCAACCAAGAAGCCAGTCTGGTGAAAAGGTGGTTAACCTTTTCACCAGACTGGCTTCTTGGTTAACTTTTCAGTGTACGGCACAGTGCTTACGTTATCTTTTTTTTTCTTTTTAATGTGTTAGATTCTCTTATTTTTCAATTCAATGTCTAACAAAACTATAAAAACTTAATTAAAATACTGAACTTGTAATACTGATAATAATAATTAAAATAGGTATTTCTTAGCAATATATACAATAACAATGCAACAGACATAAATGAAACACCCTATATTAAAACTAAAATGTTATAAATTAAATCAAGAACACTTTATGTATATAGTTTGCAGTAAAAGAAATGTTTCATATACTCTTGCCAGTGTCTTCCCTTATATTTAAGTATCAAAGGTTATACTGTACTGTACAGTACTGCTATGGCATATGATCCATTATACTGTAACATACTGCTCATGTTCCAGATCATCATATGCTTTAATTAGTTTGGTAAACTAACATACAACTGCATTAACCATACAGTACCTTCTTGCCGTGGCATTTTGTAGCCTTTTGGGTCCCTTGGCATAGCTGTGTGGAGTGGCAGGTGTGCTCAGATCAAAGGGGGAATACAGTTTGCCAGGAGTATGTCTTGGGGTTCGCCCAGGGGTACGAGTCGGTGTTTCACCGCCCAATTTGTACCGACGACGAGTAGAATTTCGAAATATCTGCAGAGAAATTTCTAGTTAAAAACTATTTTAAAGACATTTTTGTACCTTAATCTTATAAAAGTACAGTATGGGGTTTTCTTTTTCATCACAATTTCTTGTGTTAAATCTTGCTTTCTTCTGAGGCATTAACTCTTTGTTTACATAATTGTACAGTATTTTTATGTACTGTAGTGTTCTTTCCTAAGAGCAATGTCAAAACTAAGAGCTAATAGCTAATTTAAGAAGAAGAGTGCAGTATAATGATGTATTTTAGCAAAAGGGAAAGCCTGTGATTATTAGAACACATAGAACAACTTTTTTCATAGCATCTATCAGTCTGTGAACACCGTTGAACCTTGTCAGTGATCCCCATGTAATCAACTGTAAAAAAAAAATGGAGGTACACTGGTAATTTGAAAATTCCAACACCAGAAAACTGTTTGAAAATTAGTTAAACCTTCATTAATGAATTCTGAGATATAGCACATTTCTATTACGTCACCAAATGGGGAACTGAATGCTAAAATCCCTGTTTATGAGAAAGATGAGCATGTGACTCATGATCTGTACCTCTGAGATGCCTTGTCACCCTGAGATAAACATTGTTCTTCCAACCATACAGTACCTGTATCTTTCAATTCTAGAAGTGTGCTCCCTTAATAATGATGTTATCAAATAAGATTAATCACCCTGCAGTTCAACCTCTCATAGACAATGAGACCTAGTAAACAACCTGGTCAGATCTAGTATTCCATTTCACTTCGTTTCCATTGTCACCCCTCAATCATAAAATGAGAATTAAGGATTAATTCCCCTATTGATGATTATAAGTGTCCCCAAAAAAAGCTAAGAAAGGGATACAATATTCAATACAGTATATACTTTAACTAGGAAGGTTATCATAGTGGGCTGGCAGTCCATATAATCCCAGATTTAAATTCTCACTTAAGAGGCAACATGAGATTGATGTCTGGTGTCAGTACCAGTTATAAAACTGCACAATTGAATGGTGTACTAAATGTAAATGGAGCACATAGAAACAGGCACAATAGATCAATGAAATGAAGGTGATAGCATGATCAAAGTGAGACATGTCAGCATGAATCACTAGGAGGAAGGGGGTCCCACTAATTACCCAAATGTAGCCGCAATGAAGTCAAATAACGGTCCTACATGAATAAATCGGACTGCCAATCACTTCTCGACTGGTATTTGGTGTCACGAAGTCACAAAAAATTGGTAAACTTAATTTAATCTGAGTTATAGATCAAGTGCATGTACCTAACCTAACCTGACACAACTCAGATTAAATTAAGTTTACCAATTTTTTGTGACTTTATGACACCAAATAATAATCGAGGAGTGATTCACAGCCCGATTTACGCTTGTATGACCATCATTTGACTTCATTGCGGCTACATTTGGGTAATTACTCGCTCCCTCGGTACATGCACGCGATCTATTAACTCAGATTAAAGTACGTTTTCCAATTTTTTGTGACTCTGTGACACCAAATACTAGTCGAGAAGTGATTAGCAGTCCGATTTATTCATGTAGGACCATTATTTGACTTCATTGCGGCTACATTTTGCTACATTTGGGTAATTAGTCGGACCGGGATGAAGGTGTTAGTATGGATCAATAAGACGAAGATACAGGGTATTAGTACAGTATTTAACTATAATGCATATCATTGAGAGGTTTACTAACTGTTGCAGTTTGGAGATTATGCAAGAGCTATTCTTTAACACAACATGAATATCCTGTACTACAGTACAGGTATACCAATATAGAGCAATAAATAATGACACAAAACACTAATTCATTACTGTACCATTATTCATATAAACCAGGTAATATATAGAGCATTTACAGTACCTGTGTCAATGATGACAGGGATGTCCTAACCCCTTGAAGTGCACGATTCATTTTCCTGCCACCTTCATGAAACAATTTACTCGTCTGAGGCTTCAGCTGTGAAACATTGTCCTGGATATTGTTCCACAGGGGAGCTACACCAGAGGGAAGCTTACGAAGTGGTCTGCGAGGAAAGGTGTGGGAAGTACGAGGGGACTGGGACCTACTGTTATGACCCTGATGTTGGGGATGGTATTGTTGGGGATATTTGTAATTTGGAAGACCTTTAGGGTGTTCATTACAATTACCAGTACTCTTCTTAGGATAACCATAATGATTAGAATAATGACCAATATCAACATGATCACTGTTTGGATTAGTCTGACTGGGCTTCTTTGCTTCATGATGATGCCACTGTTGATAATCAGATGTGTGCCTAAAAATGGAAATATTTTTATGAATATTTTTGTAAAAAAGAATGGTGAAGCTAAGATAAAAACGATACTGTACTGGGTTCATGTCACTTGCCGGTGGCCGGTAATAAGGTCACAGGAAAAAAAGTCACAGAAAAAAAGTCACAATTTTGGCTAGGAAAAAGAGTCACAGGAAAAAAAGTCACAATTAATTTATGGTGGCCGGTAATAAAGGTTAGGTTAGGCTACCATCAGTTCTGCATATTCCTTTACTGAAACTGATTGACATATTAACCTTAAAAAATGTGAGAATTCGATAGTTAACTTTTCTTTTTTTCCTGTGGCTTTTTTACCTGTGACTTTTTTACCTGGATTCCACTTGCCAGAGGACTCAGCATATCTAACACTGGGATTAGACACACTAAGACAATGTAATGTTTTTGTGGTATATACTTTCTCCTGTAGTACCTGAAGGATATAGAATGTGTGGGTTGCAAAAGCTTAGGATAAGCACTGAGAGCCTAGATACCTTCACTCTTTTGAGAGATGGGGTTATGCAAAAATTCCTAGGCCACAAGGGCACATCCCCATTTTTCTCATAGGTAAATTGTTTGAACACCTGCAATGTCCATAAACATGGTGAATTTGATAATGTACAGCTGTATGTGAACTGTCTAATATCATACTGAACCAATTTAAATTTGAAAGATTAATCTACTGAATAAAATGTGTATCCAAGTCAATGTCAATAAAGAAACGTAAAGAATTAAACTCAGTCATCAATATCTGCACGAATTTACAAATGCACACAACGACATACAGTACATACATGAACCAACACAGAGCATTAGTTACACCAGGTATACATACACTCCCTTACATATACAGTACAAACACACAATACACACTCAAAGGTAACATACACAGTACTAATATATATATACAATTCCTTTTCTCATTTGAGTAACATACAAATAAATTAAATAATACATGTCCATGCATCGTCCCTTACCACACAACCACAGCCATTCCCCCCAAAATATATGTCGCCTCATGACAAAATTATGGTACTGTACCTGTAGTTTTAATTACTACCTTTACTTACTCACAGTTACATCAGAGTTTTTAATACATATAAAAGTTATACGTATACTGTACTTATTAAATAATTGATTTTATATGGAAGAATGTCTCTAGTACTTTATATGATATACTAGGTCACTACTTATATATTTTTACATATTTACCCAATAAATTCAAATCAGAGAAACGGGTATTGTATATGATGCCAGGCAGTCACCACCAGGTCCGTTTTAAATGGCGGCGAACTCCTTGAACCCTAGATAACGGCACAACCTTCCTTACACCATAAAAGTCAAAGTGATAATCTATACTACTATCACCCTCCAGCCATGGGAATGACGTCAGACAAGGACAACAAGTTTCTGATGATGACTAACCCATGATTGTGTGTGGGTGGTGGTGGTAAAGGGCCTCGCCGCCACCTTCCCTCCTTCTCTTGTTCGTGGCTAAATCGCTTTTGTAGATTCACTCGACTACTAGGAGTATTTGGTTGATAATCTTGGTTGAGATAATCCTTGTTCTGATTGCGACGGCCACTAAAAAACGACCAACTGTTGGATAGTTTAGCTGCCATGACGTCTGGTGGGGAGCGACCTAGTGTGTTTAAACCCGCCGCCGCCGCCGCCGCTCACAACGGCTGGTGCGGCGGTGCCAAGTCTCTTCCTCTATGCAATATTGTGTACACCAATTTAAATTCTAATCTACAGTTAATAATAATATTTGTTAAAATAAAGACTTATTTAAATATTCTTGTTCATAAATATTTCCTTCTATTGGTTTAAGGTAATGAAATAAAGTAAAGAAAAGCAGACATCACCCTAGTTCATCAAGAGCTTTAATAAGGATAGCAACGGTCTCCCTCACTGACTGTGGTCTGGAGTGTTATTACTGTGGCTTAACTAAAACAAAAAAAACTAATAATTATACAACACCAACAATTAACAAATAAATCAGATACGGCGCTTTTGTTTTCTCTCGTCTCCAATATTTAGCATTATAATATATATATATATATATATATATATATATATATATATATATATATATATATATATATATATATATATATATATATATATATATATATATATATATATATATATATATATATATATATGCTGATAACCAAGGAAAGAAGAAAACACGAAGTTCCCAAGCGCTTTCGTGTAATTCACATCTTCAGGGGTGAGTACAGACTAAGAGAGAAATACAAACCAAGGTGTATATATACAGAGGAGGGTGAGACCAGGTCCACAATGGTCAGGTATTAGGTAATGACCCTACTAATCTTTAAATAGCACACAACGGTTGGTGGTCAGGTCAGATGGTCAGGTGACCCGGCCTTCTCACCTGGTTACAAATCTTCTTAATTACAAAATTGTCCAGCTTGTACATGCCGTTACTCAATTTCATGTTGAATGCTTCGGTATGTTTAATAAGACTAGATTCTATGATGGTCCTACTATCAATTGAATTACAATATTACCATGTAAAATTAATCTACGACTCTCAACATGGGTTTACAAAGGGAAAATCTTGTCTAACAAATCTGCTAACGTTTTTTAGGAAAGTCTTCGAGGTAGTAGATAATGACGAAAATTACGATGCTATTTACTTAGACTTTAGCAAAGCATTTGACAGAGTACCGCATCAGAGGCTTCTGAGAAAAATTAAGGCTCATGGTATCGAGGGGAAAGTTTTAAATTGGATAAAATCATGGCTCACCGATAGAACGCAGAGGGTCAGCATAGATGGTGTTAAATCTGAGTGGGGCCGTGTAACCAGTGGGGTTCCCCAGGGGTCAGTACTAGGCCCACTCTTGTTCATAATCTACATAAACGATCTAGATACTGGGATCAGCAGTGACATAAGCAAGTTTGCGGATGACACCAAAATAGGGCGGCAAATTAATTCAGGGCAGGATGCAAATGCATTACAGGAGGATCTAAATAAACTGCAGGGTGGTCTGAAAAATGGCAAATGAAATTCAACACCAGCAAGTGCAGCATACTTAATATTGGAAGAACAAATACTTATAATGTATACAGCCTTAACAACATCAACCTAGAGAAGTCGACTTGTGAAAGAGACCTAGGGGTACTTAGCCCGGACTTACGGCCTAGAAAGCAGTGCGTTAATGTTCGAAATAAGGCAAACAGAGTATTGGGTTTTATATCTAGAAGTGTAAGTAACAAGAGTGCAGAGGTCTTATTGCAACTATATCTTGCGCTAGTTAGGCCGCACCTCGATTATGTGGTTCAGTTCTGGTGCCCCTATTATAGAATGGATATAAATTCACTTGAGTCGGTGCAGCGAAGAATGACAAAAATGATTCAGGGACTTAGAAACCTTCCATATCAGGATAGGTTAAAGAAACTTAACTTGCATTCCCTAGAAAGACGAAGAGTGCGGGGAGATATGATAGAAGTATTTAAGTGGGTGAAAGGAATCAATAAAGGGGATATAGATAAAGTTCTTATAATATCCGAGCAGGATAGGACTCGTAGCAACGGATTCAAGTTGGATAAGTTTAGGTTTAGGAGGGAGATAGGAAGAAACTGGTTCACAAATAGGGTGGTGGACGAGTGGAACAAGCTTAGCAACTTTGTAGTAAGTGCGGGAACTCTGGAAAGCTTCAAAAGGAGGCTAGATAGATTCATGGATGATAGAGAGTGGTAGTAACTCTCGACAGGAGCTGCCATGCACAGGCCAACCGGCCTATTGCAGACTCCTTATTTTCTTATGTTCTTATGTTCCTCTGTATATATACACCTTGGTTTGTATTTCTCTCTCTCATCTGTACTCACCCCTGAAGATGTGAATAACACGAAAGCGCTTGGGAACTTCGTGTTTTCTTCTTTCCTTGTGGTTATCAGCATTTATATATATATATATATATATATATATATATATATATATATATATATATATATATATATATATATATATATATATATATATATATATATATATATATATTTCTTTGTCTTTGGCCTAAAAACAGTGACCCATTGGAATTTTTAGACAAGCTTAATAATATTGTCCCTAGTATCACATTCAAAATTGAAAGAGAAATAAATGAATCCCTTCCATTTCTTGATATGCTTATCATGAGAAATGGCCAAAACTATAAATTTAAGGTATATAGAAAGCCCACACAGGTAGACAGTTTCATTCACTTTTTATCGAATCACCTTGAGTCTACCAAAATGTCAGTTTTTTCTGCTATGTTCCTAAGATGTCTGCGTATTTGTGACTCTGAATTTATTGACGATGAATTTAAACACATTCGTTCTATTGCACAGAAACTTGGGTACCCTTCTGTGTTTGTTGATCGTTGCTTTAAAAGGGCTAAAAAATCCTTTCATTCCTCTCAAACCAGACAAGTTCCTACACTTAAGAATATTTTGACTCTGCCCTATCGTGATGAATTTGTCCCGTTAGTTCGGTCCCTCAAGCTTCTAAATATTAATGTTGTTTTCAAGTATGACTCAACCATTACCAATATGTTAATAAGGAATAGCCCAAGTTTGAATGTAAATGGAAGTGTTTATTGTATTCCATGTAGCAAATGTAATTGTAATTATGTAGGTCAGACAGGAAAAACACTGCAGCTCAGAATCAAACAACATAAGTATAATATCAGAACTGCATCTGAAAGCAGTGCCTTGTTCGTTCATGTTAGGAATAATAATCACCCCATTGCTTGGGAAAAAAGCTTAGAAGTATTCAAATCATCTTGTGTCACAGAAAGACTTCTGGTTGAAGCTAGTTTGATTAAGGAATTAAAATCAATAAACCTTAGTGATGGTCAGTTCAAAACTGATATGTTACATAAATTTATTTGTCAGTGGCCCAAGGTTAAAAATGCTTTGAAAACCTTTGATCTTGATGTATGATAGTTATTTTGTGGGTCCCTTTTTTCTGACCTGACCTGTCTAGTCACGTCACCACCCTTCTCTTAAGCTCCTCTACGTGTATGTTGGTGTGGGGATTAGTGGATGTCATCATTATGACCTGACCTCATGTTTTTAGGTCACCCTGTATATTTAAGCCTCTCTCTGTCCATGTAATCCAGTTGCCTCTGAAGATGTCTTGAATAAAGACGAAAGCTAAGGTACTCCGTTGTTTCCATTTTCCCGTGTGATTTTATCAAGATATATATATATATATATATATATATATATATATATATATATATATATATATATATATACAAGTAAATCACTGTAGGTGCGCTTGATCTAGGTATTGTAGTGGATTTCTCCCCTACAAACGCTGTTTGTCGCTAAGTACATAAGAACATAAGAAAATAAAGAGTCTGCAATAGGCCGGTTGGCCTGTGCATGGCAGCTCCTGTCGAGAGTTACTACCATTCTCTATCATCCATGAATCTATCTAGCCTCCTTTTGAAGCTTTCCAGAGTTCCCGCACTTACTACAAAGTTGCTAAGCTTGTTCCACTCGTCCACCACCCTATTTGTGAACCAGTTTCTTCCTATCTCCCTCCTAAACCTAAACTTATCCAACTTGAATCCCACGAATTCCCCAGTTTATGCCTCGTGGTCTAGGTCAACCAGCGCCACCATACATCACGGAGGTCAACTACTAATCCACGCCTACCCCCGCTATTTAAGACCTGACCTCGTGGTGACCTCTCTCTGACTGCTGGACCTGGAGCTGCGAAGACTTGCCTCTTTTGCTGCATGTTTGAGCAGTCTGCAACTTTGTTGTGATAAGACACTCAATCCTAGTGATTGTACTTACACAACATAGTGACGGTGTAATTACCATCTCAGATTGTACGGAAAATTCCAACTTCTGGAAAACAAATATTTGGGCTCCCCAAATTTTGACTACTACCCGTGCGTCTACGTCCTGGATTGGCCAATCAGTGGTGCCCCACGGTGGCGTGATACATGCACGTTTACTGTGGTGCTCTGATTGGCTAACCGAACGTGGCGTGGTAGGTAGGCTGTCTCTACTCTCTAAGTCCTCTTCTTTCCTTTTTTCATCCCCCTCATGCACTCCGTTCTTTGAACGGGAGGCGGGACTTAGCGATACGGTCGATCCGGCAAGGGAACCTGTGATAGTGCAGGGCACCCCTTGTCCGGGGGTCACCGGTAGGTGGCAACTTTCTTAGACATAACTATAGTCACAGGTAACCTGGGTGCAGAACCCTACGAGCCCGACGCCCGTCCAAGAGGGGGGGGCGGGGTCACTGCTCCCAGGCAGGAGCCCTGTGTTGTAGGTAGGATTAGATGTAATCAAGAAGATGACAACAAGCATTAGAATAAAACATAGAGATAAGGGACACTCTATTGGAACAGACGGGGGGGACCTAGTTGAGGTTTATCAGCATCTCAGGGGCACTACTCAGTTGAGTGTCCTTACTTGAGCTGGCGGACCGCTCGCCCCCGGGTCACAGCTCAAGATTGAAGAAGCCGCAAGTCCAGAAAACCGTGAGACAAACTTTCGGTGAGGGTTGTAAACTCTTGGAACAATCTACCAGAAGTGTTGTGACGGCACCGAGTGTGAGCTCTTTCAAGAAGACTTGACCAACACTGGGCAGGTTCAGGTACATTCAGACGGTGCATGCCCAGTATTGCCAACAGTGCGTGACGAGACGTGACCGA